TTTTTTTTTTTTTCCCAAGGTCTTAAACTATTTTGGGACAGCATCCATTCAAATACGGTATTATAAGAAAAGCTTTTATGACCAAGATATTCTTTTAATTCAAAGCTCTTTGCCACACTTCCTGTTTGCTTCAAGGGTCTGAGGAAAGTAAAAGTTCCAGGTCCTTGTGATGGGAACGGCTTCCTGAAGGTGAAACAGCACAGCTTCAGCCCTTCATTAGGTATCCCCTGGTATTGTCTTCTAACTGCTTCTTGTACGTAAATCAAATCTTGCTTTTCCCAGCCAAAGATTCGGAACTTCTTCGGGATGATAGTCTCGATTTACGTTTCTTTCCTGTTGTCTAAGAGTCCAGGGCTGTGCTGAGCATACTGAGCATATAATAGCTCATTTAAAGCAGATTAACTTATCTGTAAGTTAGCTGGTCGCCCTCATGTAGTTCTCTGAGATCCACCACACATGTGTGAATGAGCACAGTGGAAAGCAACAGCAGAAGAAATAATAGCTCTGCATATGCAACAAGACATCACATGTTTACGAAATATGAAAACTCACCTCTTCAAGAGGAAGGGAAGGAACTGGACAACTGAATTAGTATGATCATTTTTATTATCTTCGTTATATTTATTATAACTCAAACGCTGCTCCCCAGGCCCTGGCCCAAACATGTCACAAACATTGATTTATTCTTCATAACAACTAAGAGGACCAATATTGTTCTTATTGTGTAAGGAGAAACTAGGGTCACAAAAAGAAGACTCGTTGTGCAGGGTTACACATACAACCAGGTCAGAATGTGGCCTGGGAAGCGGGGCTCGCGAGTTCACGACCTTAGTTAGTCTGTTTCCTGAGAGGAAAACCTAAAGTAGGGGGAAAAAAAGTGTTACCATCTTCAGTCTGCACTAGTTTTCATTTCTGGGTCCAAGGTCAACTCTTGCCATCTGTTGAGAAAATATGGGTGAAAGAAAGTAGTGACTAACGGTTTTGGAGAGTGGAGTAAGCAAAATTCTCAGGGTTTGCCGAATGAGCCAACGGTGAGCGGATAACGTAGGGAAAAGCGTTCCGATTCATCAGTATGCAAAGGGGAAAATAAGAGCAGGCCTCTTGGCTTGCTGGACAAGGCTCAGAAATTGAGAACAGAAAGAATGGAGACAATGTTTAGGGACGTAATAAATGGTTTTTTGGAAAACCCAGTGGACTTGGGAAACATACAACAAATATCCTGACGCAAAGTCCACTTGGTGGAATTCCCAATCACATCATGTCATGTCCTCATAAATCTTGACTGCAGCCGAAACAACCATCCTCCTCTGTGCTGCATACCTATGCAGCAGTGATGGTTGATCTTGATTGCAACTTTTAAGGAATTTTTTTAAAAGGTAATGTTTTTGTTTTTGTTTTTGTTTTCGGAATCACCTGGGAGATACACCTCTTGGAGCGCAGAGGGGTCGCTAGGAAGGTTTACTGAAGAGAAAAGACAAGCTATGTGTGTGATCATTAGGTTAGGTCCTTGTCTAAACAAGAGGGAGCAAACACCATTCATCTTCCCTTCCTTCCTCACTCTTGTCACAATGTCACGAACCGTTTCAGACTCCTGCTGCCAGAGTTAGAGACGGCCATACCACTGTGCCCTCCCTCTGTGATGGACCATGAGCTACAGTACACCTTTCCTTAAGTTGGGCAGCACGTAGCCCTGGTATTTCCCTAGTTGCCTAGCTTGCCCACTACGATAGCATTTTTAAGAGTAGAAAATACGCGCCTCACTCATTCGTCTGTGCACCCCAAAGTCTAGCATTTACTTCCCATTCAGTGGGTGGTCTCCACCATGAACCTTTCTGTACCTCATTGCTGCGCCCATCCTCTTAGCTGTATCTCTCACGTTCAGAAACAGTGGAGACTCGTACCGTTCATTGGGTTGTAAGTCTATGTGCTTCCTAATTTGTAAAGAACTGCCTAAAATGTAACCGACTTAAGTTGCTTAAATTCTTCTAGAACTGGTTGCTTTTCTGTCTTTTTTTTCCTGAAAGACAGAAGGGTTTCCTTTAGACATAGTCTGCACAATGACCAAAGACTTCAGTTTTACGTGCGGCAGCCTTTGTGGAGAATGGATTCGCACTATGGTGGGTCATGCCCAAAGATGGTGACAGCAGTCTTCCGTGACACTCATCCTTTGCTTCAGGGTATTGCTCTTAGTCTCATAAACTGGCAGTCAGCTTCCTGACCTCTGAGTCTAAGCTGGGTTAGTGATCTGCTTGGGCCACAGAACACCATGGATATGCCAAGTGCAGAGTTCTATGTCCTACCCTTAAAATTTTCTGTAGCTCTTGTTTTTAATCTCTTATAGCTCTAAGGTGCCACGTAAAGAAGCTTGGTTTCCCTGCTAGGGAGATCAGACAGAGAGTTTCTAGAACCCACACAGCTGAAAAAAGCGAAATCATGGTGTTCTAGTCAGCTCAGCAGTGGCATCAGCTGTGTATAACGCCATACCATCTTGCATTCCTCAACTCAAATCGCAACTGCATGAACCAGCAGGGCACAGATGATCACACCAGTTGAGCCATGATGAAACAACCAGAGAGTCAGAAGCGATGCTGATGTCACTGTAAACCACTGAGTCTTTGGCTGGCTTGTTACAAAGCCATTGGCTGTTGATACATCATTTGCGTTGTTCAAGCTGAACTTAGAACATAAATAGGTACAGAGACAGTCGTGAGGGTTCACACCTGTTATCCTGGCATGAGGGTGTCCGAGTCACATGGGTTGCTTTGAATTTTAGATAAACCTGGGCTACAGTGAAGCCCATATGAACCACATAAAGAATCCACATAACCAACTTTCTTATTTACAAGGAGCTGGGGGCTTTCCTACACCCATCCCTCTGATTCACCTTGCAGATTACACAGTATCCAACAATGCAAGGCAAAATTTGTGGGAATCAATGCAAAATTGCAGTGAAGCGGTTATCATAGGACATTGCAAACCTTTCAAAATAAGAAGCCATAAAATTGATGAAGTCAGAGGAGCCCTTGAGTCACAGACAGGTCCGATGGCAGAGGAGAATCTGCAGTTGTGAGGGTTAACCGCCAGGAGAAGAAATCCAGATGAAGGACAGACAACCCAAGAAAAGCTTCGGAGGGATCAATTCGAATGTCACGGTTGAACAGAGGCACACAACATTTTTGAAACAATGACGCTCTATGATTTGCCCACAGAAGTCAAATGTAGAAGGACACACACGATATCACGAAATTATATAATTTGGTTCGAAAATTTAGCTTTTGAAAATCTACACCAGATTCATTTTTGTTGTAATATTTAACACATCTTTGTTCAACTAAAATGTCCTAAATGTAAGGTTTTTTTTTTTTTTTTAAAGAAAATGTCTTGATTTCTTAAAGGGCAAAATTCCGATCAAATCTTCTTTTGGCATGTTTAACTCTCTGTTCCGAAAGGCTCCACTTTAAGCGGGCTGGGGGCTGTCAATTATCTGAGGAAGCTGCAGGCCTCTAGAAGGTCTTTCATGCATCTTCCTCATGAGCAGGTTGAGAGCAGCATCCTGGCCCATGTTGGGCGAATACTCCCGGCATACTGCATACAGCCAAGGAGAAGGGAACCAATGACTATAGCACCGTAAAAGCTGAAAAATGTGGTGCATTTGCACAATGGAGTAGTACACAGCAGAGAAAATAATGACATCTTGAAATTCATGGGCAAATGGATGGATCTAGAAAACATCATATTGCGTGAAGTAACCCAGACCCAGAAAGACAAATATAATATGTACTCACTCATAAGTGGCTTTTAGACATAAAGCAAAGGAAAAAAACCAGCCTACAATTCACAACCCCGGAGAACCCAGACAACAATGAGGACCCTAGGAGAGGCATACATGGATCTAATCCACATGGGGAGTAGAAAAAGACAAGCTCTCCTGAGTAAATTGGGAGCATGGGGATCATGGGAGAGTGTAGAAGGGGAGAGGAATGAAGGAAGGGGAGCAGAGAAAAATATAGCTCAATTAAAAACAATTTTTAATAAAAGAGCTACTGTTTCATTGGTTTACATAGAGCTATTGCCATCGCGAAAGGTGCTGTCCCGTGATCAGTACCTGACCCAGTGTGGGCTGACATTTGTTCTTGAAATCCTTCAGAGCAGGTCTGTTACCGACTTCCTGCCAAAAGCACTTTCACAGTCTGGGTACATTTAAGACCAATCCAAGCATGTAAAGTCATGTTAGGCGAGAAGCCCCCACATCCCAAAGGCCCGGCTAAGGAGGGCCACGTGTGAGAACAGGTGTGCCCCTTCACTGAGCAGGAATCTGGAAACGTCAAGCGTTAGAACCGCTCCAGTTCAGCCTGGCCCGCAGTCACACTGCTGGGCTGCATCAGTAAATGCCTTGCGCGCGCGGCTGGGACTAGAGAAACTCTTGGCATAAATTCAGAAGGAGAGGAGACAAAAACACACTTTCTCCTTTTAAAGAATTCAGAATTCTTTAAAATTCTGGGGAGAGGGGTTCCTCTTTTCATCTTTTAAAAAGTGAAAAAGAAAATTTAAAAAATGTTCCCTGATTCTAAAAAAGCATTCATTCAAAATATTGTCACCTCTTCTGTACGAGTCCCACAGCGTGCAGGGCCGCTTGACTTAACATCCCTGCAGTCTAAGCCCTTTCAGGCTGGATTGCTTCCTCACTTGCAAGAGAAGGACGCACCAGGGCTGTTTTTCTCGTCAGTTATCAGTGTAATTTCCATTCCTTTGCAAATAAGAAAGGAACACCGTAAACTTGGCTGCGCAGACCCTTTCAGCCCTACCCCTCCCAGAAGGGCACTCCGTGTTCTGCAACCTATCAGTCAGCTCTGGCGCAAGAGTAAACAATACTTTCGGTTACAATAACTTGTATCCAGGGGAGGGGAAAAAAAGCCCGCAGGAACACAGCAGCCAGAGGAAAGTTTACAAGCTTTAGCCAATGAAAGGCTGGGGAGGCCAGCCAAGTTAACATGCTTCTCCCCGCCTCTAAATGAACTCATGATTGAAATATGGCATTGAATTTGTTTTAAAAAGGGAAGGCGTGTAGGAAAGAAAAGCGAACGCGGTCAAGAGCTTTGGCTTGTGGGGAACGTGGTTAGGAAGTGTTTGCTTGTCGCTGCACCCGGAGTGGGTCCAGTAACCTTTGCCTCCCACTGGGTGGAGTAGGGCCTTTAAGAGCAGTTGGAATGCAGTTCCCCTGATCAGCTTAGCCGGTTATTCCCTGCTTGAACCTCTGCTAGCCCTGGAGAACAGTGTCCGGTTCAGACCAACGGATCTCCTGCGCTCTGCAGTCACCACAGCCCACTTCTTGCCTGAGCGAGAAACTTTGCAGCGGGGGAAGTAGGCTCCCATCTGTGCAGCCATGGGAGAGGACGCTGTACAAGCAGAAAAGTTCCAGCACCCAAATGCGGACGCCCGCCAGGAGAAGCCATCCAGCCCCAGCCCGATGCCTTCCTCCACACCGAGCCCCAGCCTGAACCTGGGCTCCACAGATGAGGCCATCCGGGACAACTCGCAGGTGAACGCGGTGACCGTGCACACACTCCTGGACAAGCTAGTCAACATGCTGGACACCGTGAGGGAGAACCAGCACAACATGGAGCAGCGGCAGATCAACCTGGAGGGCTCCGTGAAGGGCATCCAGAACGACCTCACCAAGCTCTCCAAGTACCAGGCCTCCACCAGCAACACCGTGAACAAGCTGCTGGAGAAGTCTCGCAAGGTCAGCGCTCACACGCGCGCCGTCCGGGAGCGCCTGGAGAGGCAGTGCGTGCAGGTGAAGAGATTGGAGAACAATCACGCCCAGCTCCTCCGCCGCAACCACTTCAAAGTGCTCATCTTCCAGGTTAGTGGCCCCGGGGCACCCCCTCCACAGGCGTGATCTCAGTCCTGAGATCCAATCTGTCCGGCCAGTCAAGCACACACGCAAAACCTTAGCCTCCAGCCGCCTGCTACCGGCAACTGTAAAACGTGCCCACACGGGTTGGAATCCCCCTGTCCTTCAGGCAACGCCCCGTGGGCCTGGCGGACTGGGAACATTTGTCAGGGAACACCTAGACACACTTGGTATCGGGTGGGAAGCTGAGCAGGTGCAGGCATCCACTGCCGACAAATTCATTTGTCTCGTTTCATTAGGAAGTTGGGGCTGCGGCTGCAGCTGTTAGCTGGACAGGGCACGTGAATTCAGCGGCTTTTTATTAACTCTTAGTAGAAGTGAGCTAACTACATGAAGGGTTTGTTTTCTTTGGTTCGAACCAAGACTGCCCACACAAAACCTTTAAACCATGCCTTTGCTCCAAAGGCTCCTGGTGTTTTGGAAGCCAACAGAATGGGTGGTTGACACGAGCCGTGTTCTTTAAGACATCTTTTGTCCAAACAATCTCCAGTTCCTTCTAGCAAAGGGTGCCTTAAAAGTGGGAAGCAAATGGCAACTCTTTACGAACCCACTAGATATGCCCACGTTGCTCTGAAGGACGAAACTCTATAGTGAAATAAAAGAAGGATCATCGGCGGTGGTCACAAAGGCCAGCCTTCAATATCTTCTCCTTCAAATGGCGGCCTTGGCATGAAAGGGCCACTTAACTTTTTTTTTTAATGCATCAGTGATGCAATTAATGTAGCAAAGGCTATTTGGGGACAGGAAGATGGCACGGGCTGTTGTTCGGCCAAGTGGTGGGCATCTGTTAATCCACAGGCTGCCCAGCCTAAGGCTGGAAGCCCTTCTGTGGGTGGCACTGAGCCAACCCCGACCCCAGGAAGCAGAGCCATCCTGCCTCGGGGCTGGCTCCTTGTGACCATGTGAAAGGAGAGACTTTCAAAGCCATGGAGGGGAGAGGCCATAACCAACAGATTGTGAAAGCATACAGGGAGAGCCTTTATCTCCCCAGAGGCAGTCGAAACTGAGATCTAAACCGGAGGAGCCTTCTTTTTTTCCTAATGAATCTTCTCTGCCAAGTCAGAACCCCGGGCTTGCCTGACACCATAAAAGGAAAGTCTCTTCTTGCTGTCCTTGCGGCCTCCCCAAATTGTACTTGAGCGTTGGGAGGTTCCGGCAGCTGAGGCTCCTGGACCTCACAGGCTTTCACGTTTGGGGAACTTCGAGGCTTTTAATGCAGATGCCATAGCTTTTCAGGAAGCAGCTGAACTGGAAAGAGATGTGGTCAACCATCTGAGAGTCTACCTTTATTAGCCTAGAGACCTTAGCTCTCAAGGCATTTCTAAATTAAGTAGCGATTTCCTAACCGAACGGAAGACACGCAGGCCGGTCAAAAGAAACTTCCCTTCCTTCCGCATGAACTGGGGATAGGTACCTCTTGCTTTCCATTAAAGAGGGGAGGAAAAGGTTTCTCCAGTAAAGGAAAAGAAGGATTTTAAGGATTTATTTCTATTTTGATAATGAATGTTCTACCAGCATGAGGAGGAGGGACACGGGGAAAGAAATGGCTAGGCGTTCAAGAGAGCTGTGGTTCTGACCGTGGGTGACTTAAAGGCAGGTGCTCTTGATGAGGCCCTGACAAAGTCGCCTGTTGTGTTGCATTCGACCAACAGGTGTGGCATTGCACCTGAATCAAAGTGGAAGCACGCAAGACCAAAAGGGAAGCTAAGGGAATCCAAAGAAAAGTATTCAGACCGTTCTGGGCCCATGAGCAAGCACCCCCCTCCCCACACACAAACACACACATCTAAAGAGCCATTTAGAAGGCAGGGAGCTTCAGGCCAATGGCTAGAGCTTTCTCTTCCCATAGGAGGGTCTCCGCTAGCTAACGGGAATTAGAATCCCAGCTCCGAAGGCGCAGGATGGCGATCTGAGGAACTGAATGGAACTGTGGTTGTCTGGAGTGTTTAGTCCTTCTGAAAGTAGAGGTTTGAGTAAGGGTACCAATTATGCTAATGAGCGAAACAGTAATTTTTATTAAAGCGGAATCCAGGAGAGGGGGCGGGAAGATGAGGTGTCACGCAGACACTGGCCCACCTCCTGCTTTGATCCTTTGCCAACTGTCTTGACGGTGGATGCACGTGTTCTCTGTAGGCCTCTGTTCCCCCCCTTGTAAACGCAGAGGACATTAATAAGAGCAGGGAATAGTTGAGCTCCTAATAAGCCCAGCATATATGACTCAACACCGTTCTCCCTACCTCTGGTCTATCCCCCAAGTGAAAGATAAAGATGCCAAGTTTGTCTACAGTTATGTAGCACATTGGTGGCAAAGGTGCGACTCGATGCCACATTTAGTCCGTCCCGGAATATGGGCTTCCAAACGCCAGTGCTTCCTGGCTCATACTTCTCCCACAAGGGAGAATCACATATTTAAGATGACTCATGCGGACTGGCATGGAGCTAAGGCTCGCTGCATAGAATCTATTACTGTCTGGGCCTGAAATGCAGGGCTGAGACAGAAGGCTCCCCTTCTACTAGACTAGAGATACAGCTCTTGGGCCAAAACTGACCCCACCCTTCTGAGGACTTTGAAATAGCCTTGCAGACTGTGCTGGAGAAACCCGCAGAAACAGCTGAGCCAAGCTAGCGGGAGCTCACTGATTCTGGATTGAACCTGCATAGGACCACTAGGCCTTCTCAATGGGTGGCAGTTGTGTGGCGTGGGCATTTGGTGGGACCACTGGCAGTGGGACCAGTATTTATTGCTAGTGTGTAAACAGGCTCTTTGGAGCCCATTCCCTATGGACGGATGCCTTGCTCAGCCTAGATACGGGCTGGAGGGCCTTAGTGATGTGGCAGACTTTGTTGACTCCCCAAGGGAGGTCTCACCCTCTCTGAGGAGTGGATGGGGGTGGGAGGAGTGGGGAGGACATGTGAGGAACTGGAGGATGCAAGGGAGAGGGAACTGGGATTGGTATGTAAAATAAGATTGTCTTTAAAATAATTTTTTAAAAAGAAATAGCTTTTCTGGTCCCTTTTGAGTTGAGATTTACTAGTACACACACATACAGACACCCGGTATATGCCCACCATCATTTCAGAATCAGCATTATATCATAACCCATGAAAACAAAGGGGTTTTCTATTCTAAACAGACCTTTCTAACGTGGTGGTGGAAGGGGACCATCCCAGACCTGCAGAGAATGCGGATAGCAAACATGGTACTGGGACCACTTGTGCCTTGAAAAAAAATCTGTCATTTTTTAGTGCTCTGGAAGCCTATGATGCAATTCTCCTTAGTCTTCTTACTAAGCAATTACATTCCTGGTTTAGGGTGAGAGAGAGAGAGAGAGAGAGAGAGAGAGAGAGAGAGAGAGAGAGAG